AAACTGTAGTCCCTAAAACTAACGATGTAACTTTATGTGAGGATTCTGTGTTACATAGACAGGCGGTTTTACCCAGATCCGCTAGTGTGAACTTTGGTTGTGTAATAATAATAATAATAATAACTGGAATAATGATAATAACAATAATAATAACAATAAACGGATTTTTATTTCAGATAGTGGTATTAGAAACATACAATACAGAAACTAATTAGTTGTACCGTCGACTGGCGCAGTCATGCTTAAAATTAGGTCTATTCTACTGAACCAGTGCGTGGCGTAATAGTATACAACAAAATTAAACAATATTTTGATGATGACATCCTGTTCTAGCTGGTTAAATAAATTCATGAGAAAAACTGACAAAAAAATATAAACGAAAAAAAAACAGAAATATCTCTACAGCAAATTCTGTAGACACCATAATTCTTCTTATATTTAATTTTAAACGTAGTAGAATTTGAATTTACCAAGTTATTAGCTATTGAATTATCATATTTTACGGCGTTATATAAACTCCTCTCAAACATAGCACTCCAATAATGAGACATTGTTAAAAATTCCCCAGCTCTAACATCAACATAATTAAAATTTGATAAGAGAAGGGATTCGCAAAAGGTTTCCTTAACTTTTGACCTAACGAAGTTAAACACTGTGCCATCAATAAAAATCTTTAAAGAATTTTTGATATGTTCATCTTATTTTTATTTGCAAAAAGCAACAATGAAGATTTTGTAGGTTTTTTGAATTAAGATTATGGCCTTTGGAGATTTTACTCGAAGTTCGTAAATCGTGATTTATGTTTTGTTCTGCATCAAAAAGATCTTCATAAAAACAATGACATCGTCGGCCAACGCTTGAATTTTACAGAGAGTTTATGATTTTAGAATGTTGGAACTATACTCAAGAAATAACAGAGGACCTAAAATGGACCCCCGCATTGTCAGATCCCATCCAATTTTAATAGGTAGTATAAACTATCTACCTGTTTGAAAAATTTCAGCTCGATAGCAATGTCTCGACAGCTTTTCCTATTGAACTGAGAAAATCAAAGTTATAGTAGTCGGACCAAGATCATATTTCATCGGCAGAATACTATTTTCCTACCGTGTGTAAAATGCCTAATTACCCACCGATCCAAGGCACTTCGGACATTCCCGGGATTTGGGAGCAATCGGATGTTTTCGGAGATATATATATATATATATATATATATATATATATATATATATATATATATATATATATATATATATATATATATATATATATATATATATATATATATATATATATATATATATATATATATATATATATATATATATATATATATATATATATATATATATATATATATATATATATATATATGATGACACTATACTCCGGGATATCATCCGTTCGCTCGTTGAACTCCGACTGGAATCCTGCATCCGACTGGAATCCTGCAGACGTTTCGCCAAAATCTCACTTGGCATCTTCAATGCTCGCGCTCCGAAAACACTTCGAACACTCATATATATATATATATATATATATATATATATATATATATATATATATATATATATATATATATATATAGCGATTTAAAATCCGTCGCAGGTTATTCGTGTCGAGTGTCCAGCAGTGTATTTCGCGTCGAGAATTATATACCGCGTGTTCCGTACGTGTAATTTTATTAAACCCAACGGTGCATATGTCGATAAATACTTTCGACAGTACTGAGCGATTTGCAACCTCTAAAAAATCCAAATCGTAGTGTTGTGCAACGCAATTTAATGGCGATCGACGGGATCGTTATTATAATGTGGGAACATTTGAAGCGAGGCTGCATTTTCCTAATTGGTGGTCGTTTTTTCCTCGGACCAATGTATTTGTTCGTTTCACTCTGCGCTCGTACTTTCGATTTTATTTCTTTTGTTTGTTTTACACGTCAGAGAAATTTTCACCGATAGTTTTCGTCACTGTTCGGTAGCAATTTTAAGCGCGCCACAATGGAAAGCTCACATTGGGGATTTTCAATATTATGACGATGCGTTATGACATCGTTCTAAAATTCAATGAAAAAAATCCCAGCGATTGTTGGCGACGGGTGATTATCGCAATGCAATTATGTAACGGTAATTGTTCGCCGGCGTTCTCCTTTTTTTAATTGTTGCTGAATTTTGCAAAATTCGTGAGCATATTGTCGTTTTTTTATGTATCGTGCGTGACTTTGCGAAACTTGTACCCACGCTGCCTTTAAATAATTGTTTTTCAAATTAAAGGGAGAAAGAACATCTTAACTTATAGGCTATTTCAGAATAATGTTGCGTAAACCGGGAAATTCATTCGACTATACAAAATCAAACTATACAGAAGAGAGTAGCAGAAAATCTTTCATCTTGATGAGGCCTAGATTGATGAAGATTATACATGGTATTTGAAAAGTGAGCAAAGAATTATTTGGAGATATTCATAAAGTTAAGCGGCTACTTTTTTACCCACATAGTTAAAGAAGCCACTCCGTTTAATATGCATAAAAATGTGAGTATAAACTCCAACTTGTGAGCGTCTACTTCGTCCACTCAGTATCTGCTTTCGAAGATGCGAGGCTCCTTAGTAACCGAATTAGTGATATCCGTACGCAATGGTCGAATTTATGCCTATTTATCATCGTAAGTTGTTTAAGTAAGTAAGTAAGACTATCGTGCCCTATATTAGTTTAGCAGAGTTAATATTCAGTGGATAATAACTTCTTGGAGTACTGACACTGATACTGATTATCAGCGTTATAGCACATACCGTGAAGAAATAAAATGTTTGGATCGAATTTCCATCCTTAGATGAACAGAATGATAAAAATAAGTGGCAAGAAAAGTTTAATTGTCCTTCAGCTATTGATACTGTACTCATCTTCCCATACTGAAGCGGGAACGAATATATTAACACAAAAAACGTTGCTTTTTACAAAACTACTGGATTCCTCCTGCGTCGGTTTTTGCTTAGTTGAAATTGCTGGCGTTTCGCCTGTACCTGCTTATATATTGCTTGAATGGGGGGGGGGGGGCTAATGAGGGTTATAAACACCATCTCGGATGACTGATTCCCAAATTGGTGACAAGTAGAAACCGACTCACCGAGGAAGATTAACAATTGTTAGGTTGTTTATAGATTTCTAAAGACTCTCGGATTTTTCGTTGGTAGAAGAACTGATTACATGCAAGAATTTTAGTGTTATCAAATAAAAGTATTTGGCTTCGTAGTCAAGAAACACTAGTAAATTTTCTTAGGCATTTAAACTCGATATACTCTAACATACGTTTTACCAATGAGTTGGAAGCTAATAATAACCTGCCATCCTTAGATATTCTTATCAATAGAAAATAAAACTTAACATTGGGTTATTGTGTTTACAGAAAACCTACGCACACAGACCGATACCTTAATGTATGGTTACATCACCATCCGGCCCAAAGATCATCGGCTATCAACTCTCTTGTTTACAGAGCCGTAAAACTATCTCAGCCCGAGTCACTGAAAACAGAATTAAAACACCTTACCTCTGTTCTTCTCTCTAATAATTTCCACATTAAAGATATTAAACGTTCCATCAAAAAATACACTTCACCACAACCTTCCAATAGCAATGAGGCCGAAAACAATCCTACACTTGCCACTGTGGTCCTTCCTTACATTTAAAACTTCACTGACCATATATAAAGAGTTCTAAAGAAGTATAACGTCAAAACCAGATTTACCACTTACCCAAAAATCTCTCAACATCTGCGGTCCGTCAAAGACAAAATTCCATTTGAGATGCCAGGAGTTTACAGCATTCCATCCATATGCGGTAAAGAAGACATTGGAGAGACCAGACGAAAAATATCAACTAGGCTCAAAGAACACGAAAGAGCCTTACGACTAATACAAATAAACTCATCAGCTGTTGCCGAACACACTCATGAAACCGGGCATAAAATTTTACATATTCTTGATATTACTATGGATCATCTTATTTTTCTAAGCTGCTGTCCTAGATGCCGAAGTAAAAATTAAAATACTATATTAATAAATTCAAAGCATAAATTGCGTAACTGTGGATAAATCATTCATATATTTTTTGATTAAAATGCATGTTGGTAGTGTGTCAGTTTGTTGGAGCGAGAGTCTCACAGTATATAGTACTTCAGAAGCAACCAAAACAAGGTCAATAGATTTTTATTTTTCGAGAAACGTCTAGTGAAATATAAGTTGCCATCGTACGCAATGGATAAAACTTATTTTTGAATTTCTTGGGTATTCTAAAGATTTTAGTTATGATTACTAACACCCTCCAATGGAGGATTCTTTCAAAGATGGTGTTCCATGAGGTCTATTACTCATACCTGATAATATTTTTTATTTCTCAGTTTTAACTTTAACTTTACTATTAACAAATCTTTCAAATTACCTTTAAAATAATTGCAGACTGTTGATATTACTTTCAATTTTTTACATCTTATTATCTGAGCTAACATCCTAGACGCCAAAGTCAAAAATTAAAACACTGCGCAAACACACAACCATTGAAACGTTTTTTGATTAAAATGACATTTCGAAAACAAGTTAGTAGGGTGTCAACCAAGATCTTTTAAGACCATCTCCTTCAAATTAACCAGAAAAATAGTTGATTTAAAATAACGTGACGCTAGTCTGTGGTTCGATAGGACCTCGTATTGCAAATATACTGTTCTTTGGAAAAAAAGCATCAGTTTTTGCCCTACGTTGGCTTGTTTCAAATTGTAATTTCACAACGACGCGAACGATTTACTATAGCAATAAATCATAAAACATGCGTCGACGAAAACAGAGCGAGGCCATCAAGGAACTACTATTGGCGACAAAAACGGCGGACGGCCATCATAACAATAAATAAAAATGTATCTAGGAAACCTTTCATGCGAGGCAAAACGATAATAACACTTAAAATTACCCATAAGTTTTTACCTTAAATATGAGTTATATTTTTCCAGGTGTAGTCGAGATGGAGTCCACGGTAGGTCGAGTTTTGCCCGTAGTTCTTCTACATCTTATGTCTACGATCGGAGCAAGTCCGCAGAGTTACCAAAACGTATTCCTAGACAGGATAAACCCAAACTACGACAATACGATATACGGGGGATCCTTTATTGATGGCGGAAACTACCCTGTCGCCCAGACATCATACGCGGTCACCCCGATTGTACCGAATACAGGGTAAGGACGTAAGAACTTGCCAAAGAACATACGAAAATGCGCTGAGCCGATCCTTTTGCCATAATATTTTTAATAATTATGTTGATAAACTGTTAATTATTAATAATAGTGTATCGTGCCTTAATTTCTAACGAGTTGGTGCTTGGAATTGGTTAATCAGTTTCGTTGACGTCTCATTTTGTTTCGTACTAAAGAGACTGGCCTGTTATTTTGGAAATTGAACCCCAATTTTAACATTCCAGCACAGTTAACTGGAAACTTAGTAATGAGATTTTCGGTTGCGCAAACAATATCTTCATTAACTATTTGTAATAAATAAATCTAATAAATATAAAATAAAAAGACAACTTCTTTATAATAAATAACATTTCTTGTTCAGAAAATAGCAATATGTACTTTTAAATTTGGTTAATTATTTTAAAATAACTTTTTAATACAATCGCATTTATATATTTTATTTACTTGAATACTCGATGGCTCGTATAATTTTTTTTATTTCGGTAACGGTATGGGATCGCTATTGGTACAGAAATAATCAGCGCCAAAAAAAAAATTGTTTGTCCGTTCTCCGTTCTCGTCTTTTGGTTTTTCCTGAATAACATTCAAACCATTGGAGCTACAAAATTGAAATTTGCCTCCTTTTTAACCCTCCACGAGGTACATAAGCTTGTAGGAAATGGCCTCGATCCGACGCCGGCATCCATCTTTTTTTTCTTGATTTTCGACTATTTTTTGGACATTGCTATGAAACACGATAAGTGTCCCAAATTTGAAGCAATCGACTTGATATTTGGCACATATATGCAGTTTTGCTCTGTCCCGGAACGTAATGAAAATGGGTGGACTGGGGGTTCGGGAAGTATTTAAAAAAATAAAAATCGCGTGTGCAAGGTTCTACAAAAAAGACCATTTTTTAAAAACCTTTTACAAGACCGAAAAAATTCTTGAAGCAAAAGACGAAGACTATACGGCTCCATAAATTTTTATTCCTGACAATTTTTCAAAAATATACAGGGTGCGCCGCAAATTAAAAAAAACTGAAAAATGGGTCCAACTATTAATGAAAATTGGCAATAATTTCAAATCTGTGTTTTAGATGTCAGCTTCTTTTACATGACAATATAGCCTATATAGACAGCTAAGGTTTTTAAGTATTGTACAGGGTGTTCGCTATTTTTCGTGCAATATTAAAAAACATAATAAGTGCTCCAAATTTGCAGTTACCGACTTCAGACTTGGAACAGAAATAGAAGTCTGGACCAGCATTTAGACTCTTTAAATTTGGAGAAATAAAATAACGCGAAGTATTTTTTTTAATTTTTGATTTTTTTTTTGGTTATTTTAGCATCCACAACAACATCTTTTAGACCAAAACCATTCTCTCCGATCCGAAAAATTTTACAACCGTAATACGTGGGAGACCCGGCGCTATAACTTTTGTTTCACTCATTTTTTCGATTATATACAACGTGTTATAGTTATGGACAAAAATCTAAACGACCTTGAAGATTGTTCTTTTAGAGAGTAAATTATTACCCGTAAATCAAACTTCTTACGAAAAATAGCTAATCCGTTCAAACAGTGTTATAGGCCGTATCAAGGGCTACAATTTTTGTATTTACGGTTTTCGTCACATACGCTGTTCGATATTTGAAAAAATCTAAATGAAAATCACCATTTATCGCCCTCAATCTAGACGCGATGACGTCATTTACCACGTACTACATGCTTTCAGAAAACAAGTAGTTTTTTGAAAACCATTTACTCCATTTAAAAAAATTCGGGTACCACAAAACTAAGGAGATCCAAGGCTATAGCCTCTATTTCGAACATTGTTGAAATTATATACAGGGTACGTCCTTTTAAGATGTGATATTTTGGAAATATATAATTTTAAATTGCAATTATCAGTACAAATTTTAATATTTACCCAAGTTTGCCGCAACTTTGATGTTCGATGAGATGCGAAGGACACTTTACAAATTACATCGATTTTGCAAAAGTTCCATAGTGATCTGCAAGAGCACGATAGAAAAGCAATGCGTCCCTCTAGGACAAGAATAAGCGGAGCGCCTCTAAAAAGCATTTAAAATAAAAAGCTGATTCGCGCTACTTGCGACGAACTTGCCCGCCCAGCGACGATTTTTCGAAAACATTTATTAACAAAACAAAATCAGATCATGTAATATGCAACAAGTATAAATGCTTTACTTATCCAAAACTGCAAAACTGCTAAACATTCCTTCGCAGGATATATACATTACTGCAACCATATGGTACACATGAATTAACTGTTTTAATTTATTAATTATCACCAGCATAAAATTATCGAGGACTATTTCAGAGTAATGAAATTATGTTAGATATAAAGGCTGACTGATCTAACGGATATTTAGGTCACTTTCATTGCTCGGCATCGATTGTATAAAAAAAATAGTCATCAGGTATTTATTATTGAACATTATACCAAAATGCAAATTAATTAATTAATTAATTAATTAAATTATAAAAAGTCATATGTTTCGATCGAACAAGTAGTCAAGTTCCCACATTTTCTCCCTCTCTATAATAACATAATGGACCGTTTTACGCATATTCTCTGGTGTCAGTCCATAACCTAGCTTAAGATCTTCAAGTTTGAATGTCTTATTGTGTTTTGCTACAAATCCTTTCACATACCCTCATATAAGTTCTAAAGGATTTAGTTAGCAATGATATTGCGGGATACGCCTTGAATGATAGCTTTAGGGCTTTATAGTCAATTTCCCGTATTCACAACTGGGAAACTTCATTGAAAAATGCCCATTTGATTCCAATTGGTCTATTAGTCTTTTGGAACTATATAAGTTATTTTATTAATCTACACTTTTGTGAAATAGCCTTTAGAAGGTATTTTACATACATAAGTTGGCTATAGTAAAAATAATCAAAATATATTATAATTACTTCATAAAAGGTCAAACGACTAAAATAATTTAAATACCCGCAGCAAACGTAAATCGTTCAAAAATGAAAATCGATACTGGCTGCACTACCAGAACCATTCCAAGTCAGATCAAGCCGGAACAAAGCAAAAGGAAGAAAGCTTGTTGATTGTGTGATAAGCTTTGTTCATTTAGTTAGTTAAATAAGAAGAAACGTTGTTCAGATTTTCACATAAATATATTTAAATGACAGCTGTTTATGTATTGATTAGCGTTGCCGAAAGAGCTGTCATTTAAATATATTTATGTGAAAATCTGAACAACGTTTGTTCTTATTTAAATATTTTAAATGGATTTTCATCAAGTAAAAGCCACTTCAGTAGAATTTGTTCCATTTCTTACTAGTCAACTTGAATCCTAGCTCAGAGTGCAGTAAATAAAAATTTCGCACAATCATAAACAACTTGGATGGAGTATATGAGTGGTCTTTGGCAATCATTCCTACGTGTCAAGGATGAGAAAAAAAAAGTATTAATTCGTATTGTTGAATTAACAAGGTGCAATTGGTAAAAAATATATGTGTGTAAATACTTAGGAGTGACAATGGATAGTAGACTTGTTTTCGAGCGACATGAACACTTAATTGCAAAACTGCAAATGAAATTTTTTTCATTCAACTTCACCAGACTTACCTAGATGAATTTATTAAAACTGACAATCCTTAACTACTTTCGCAAGCTAATTTTAATTGTAACCCCTATCTTAATGTTAGAAAAAGAAATCTGTTTGCTTTTCCAAAGTCACCAATATAGCTCTGCCTTAAATATTGACTTATTTCCGACATATATAACATAAATATTTTTATTTAAAGGGTTACTTTGGAATTATTCAGTTGAATAACTTAGTGCAGTTAGTCCATACGAGGGCATGGGATGAGCGTTGGTTGGCTTATTTGTTTATTTAATTTCAAATGTAGATATAAATATTACAATATTTTATTACTTAATAATTAATAAATAAGGAGTTTGTGAGGTTATCTAAATGGTTTGTCGCATGTGCACATGCAGTTCTCGTAAGAGGGCAACTGTTTTGACGGTTCTTAGGGCGATCTGGGCTGGTTGGATAAAAAAAACCCATACCAATACGTCAGTGAAGAGACGATTCCAAAATAACCCGAATATTGGATTTTCCACGGTGCCTACCTCTGCCAGTTCGCAAACATAGTCTAGTTAATGAGTACTATTACCGAAATATTGTTTGTTTTGTTGATTTGGAATTATGTCTAAATCATGGTGCGGAAAAAGTGGACTAGCACATTAAAAATTTCAAAAATTACAAACAATTAAAGATGGTAAAGAATAAATACTTTTTTTGGTTACAGCTCGTACACTAATAATTTTTTTGGGTAATGAAAAAAGAGGAGGATATTTACTAAAAAAAAGTTCCCATTCCCGAAACCATACCTCCATTATTAATAATTTTAATTTCTTCTTCTTCTCCCTTCTTTTTGTTAGGCGTAAGCCTGTTTCATTGATCATCCCCCTGCTTGGTTCTAATTGTCTGGTTGTGGAAGGTCGTCGCTCCAACGTTTTCGAGGTCTGTCGGTGCTTCTTCGCCCCGATGGTGATTTGTCCCTCGTTACTTTGACGATTCTCTCTGCGGACATTGGTATTTTGCCCACTATTCCGAGGAATATTTTGATTTCTGTGTACTCTAGCATTGTTTTGGTCTTAAATGTTTCGTGTCCTGTTTCGATGGTATACGTCATTATTGGTCTTATAGTTGTTTTGTATATTCGCTTTTTCGTTTCCACTTTTATATGTTTGTTCGACAATATATTATTAATGCATCCGGCCATTTTTGTTGAACAATCTTGTCCTCGATTTCAAGTTTGCAATTTTAGATGTTTTCTCGATTGAGATTCTCATGTTGAGTTGTTTTTCTGTTTTAAAGAATTGGTAAGAACTCTCTGAAAGTTATCTTCATTTCCTGGTACTAGAGCGGCATCGTCGGCGTAACATATTATTTTGACCTCTCTATATCCCATTTTGAACCCTGGATGTTTAAAAACTTGTTTAATTATTTCATCCAATATAGTATTAAATCAAAGTGGACTTATAGAATCTCTTTGACTTATTCTGATGTTTACCGGTATTTGTTCGGTGAGTTCGCCATTTAATCTAGCTTGAACTTTGTTTTCTGAATAAATATTTTCAATTATCTTGATAATATCGTATGGTATTTATCTGTCTTGAAAAATATGGATAACGTCATCTAGTTGGCTAGAAGGCTTTTTCTATATTGATAAAATAGATGTATCCTTGTTGTTCTTCTGCCAATGTAATATATGTATCGCTTTATTTGTGATAATTTTAGTTGTTGAGCGTCGTGTCCTGTAGTTTTATCCCCCGGTAGTTTGATGCATTTTTTGTGTCCATTTTTGAAAAGTAAAATTGTTGTGCTAACACGCCATTCGTTTGGTATTTTATGATGAAACGTGATTTTCTTTATTAAAGTTTGTAATTATTGTGATCTTTTTATTCCACCATATTTGAGTAGTTCATTGGTTATATCATCTTTACCATGACTCATTTTGTTTTCTAGTTTTTGTACGGAAATTTCTACGTTCCGTACTTCTATAATTGTTTCATCGTTAGTAACAATACTGGGTGTAATTATGGTTTCTTCGTTTTTATCATTTTCTTTGTGGTATAGCTTCTTTTAAATATTCTCTCCAGGTTTAGGAATGAGGTTAGCAAGTTAGTACGTAAAATTTGAAAAAATGCGGTATAATCTAAATACTCCAAAAAACTGATTCCCGTTAATTTTAATTAAGAAGTCCATTTCTTTATAAAAAAAAATTTTAAACAAATGCACCTAAATTGTTTTTGTTAGTTAACGTAAAAACGGTAAATTAAGGATAAATGAAAAAAAAAATACAACATTGCGGTGAATTTTCTTTTTTTATTAACTTAAAAAAATAATATAAACGCAATATTAAATTTATTTAAACTTTTATCACGTGAGCCATATCACATTATTTTGGTAATAGTATATTCAACTAACGTAATTTTAAACTCATTAACTAGACTAATAGTTCATCGGTATGTCGAACGAAGCTAAGGACGTCGACTATACTCTCGATTGAACGATTTTTGTTGCCGCATTCATTGCCCACGGAATATGAAGCCTAATTTCTTGGGTAATACTGGATATACCTGCGCGTTCCGCCTTAATGTGTATGAAGGCATACGTACATGTGCCGATTTATTCAACAGCCACGTGACCTCAATTCCACGAGTCGACCCTCATTTGCCACGCAATAAGCGAATATTTTTCTCTGGTCGGTTCGAAATTTATTGATATTTCAATACAGAATACAAGATGTCTGTTTTAACACATTAAGACAACAAATTCTAAGAACAATTCGATGTTAACTTTACATTTTTAACTTGTCCGAGATGGAGTCAGATAGGAAAGAACGACATGTGCGGCTCTACAAAAAGTTTTTGTTTATAAAATAAAGAAAGGAAACTGTCCCTTTTCACCACTAATCAAATGAGATTAGCAGGAATGGCTATTACTTTGTCGTTTTCATTACTATAGTATATAAAAGTAGAAAAGTAGAACATACCAACTATTTATTAGCTAAATAATTAAAGGCCCTGAACCCCCACGACAGAGAAAGGGATAATAAGATCAATAAAATAATGTACCTGATTCTCTAGTCCGCATCTTCTATATTTTACATAGCTTCTATAAATTTATAAGAAATATATTTTTGGCCATTCGTTATGTTATATTTAGTAGTTTGTTTCGACTTTCTTTTATTTTATTTGCCTATTCTATGGTGTTTATATTTCGTTTTGATGATTTATATTTTAGTCACCATTTTACGATCAGAATTTCAATTCCCAAGATTTTCGTTACCGCTATTGCTATTGCCACCATTTAAACAGTTTTTATCAACAAGATACTCCATTTCAGAAGCGTCTTTGGTTCCGGTCAATACATTCCTGGGTTACCTCAAGCCCCGACCACCCAAGACCCAAGCACTCTTGGCTGTGGTACGGCACCATCATTCTGCTCACCTAACTCCAGATACAGAACATACGACGGTTCGTGCAACAACCTTAGAAATCCAGGTCTCGGAACACCTCAGACCCGTTACAACAGGTTACTGCCTGCAAAGTATGGAGACGGTGAGAAGAGTAGCGATAATATAAATCTCCAATCGAGGTTACTAACGTTTGCTTTTGTTGTTAGGGATTAGTACTCCAACGCTAGCTCAGAGCGGTAGACCCTTGCCCAGCGCTAGAGCCGTCAGCGCGGTGATGTATCCAGATGTGCCCATTGAAGATCCGATCTGGACCCTCAACGCCATGCAGTACGGACAAATTATCACACACGATATGAGTTTGATTGTAGGCACTACTCAAACGCGTAAGTTTCATAATATTTCTTAGAATCCATCCACTGGCAGCGTCTTCAGATATTTTGTGATATAATGGTGGTACTCCCATTAATGTGTCGAAAATAAATGAGACAAGTCATTAATACAGTATTAAAAAATCGGCAAATTAAAAATTGTGCATCGAAAAGAACTTGTCTCCACTTCGTTTGTTCCCATATACTTCTTGTTGGGCTAAAAATGAAAGAGTACTTTTATAAACATTATGCATTAAAGATAACAAAACTTTCTCTAATATCAGAACCGCATTCAACGAAATGTTGTTCACCTGACGGTCAGCTGCTATCTTTGGCAAACAGTCCCGACCATTGCTTCCCAATCACAGTACCCAGAGATGATCCGGCATATTCCCAGTTGAACATCCGCTGCATGAACTTTGTCAGGACCATTACAGACAGAGACAGGAATTGTGTGGGAGGTCACCAACCAGCCGAACAGGTTAGGGTTAAGCGATTCTCTTAGTGGTTGATTGGTTGTCTTTATCCAGGGATTCTTTCTGTTTAATTTTAAAGGTCAAAAATGAAAATTAAAATTATACGACATGAAAATAATAAAAAACGGGATTCGGATATAACTAGAATAGAATTAGTGCTGCAGAGAACCTCTACTACTTTGATAACTTTTTGGTATAGTTCCATCTGTCTAAAAAATAAAAAGAGTTAACCTAAATGCTACCAAAACAAAATTATTTAGAAGCTTTCTGTTAGAAGTAGCTTATTAATAATATATAATATAACATTCCAAATCAAATTAATATTTATAAAACCAGTCAATTTTATTACTGGATAGATTTCGTCAATAATGGAAATAAAATGGAGAAAAGTCATAAAAAAATACGTAATAGTTGATTAGAAAATTTTGAGAAAGTAAAGGAACTATTGTGTTATATTCTAAATAATAGAGCAATTGTAATAATACGAAAATATCAAAAACTAATTTTATTTATTTATTTTAAACTAAGCAAACCAACTTTATCTGAGTGATAAAATAATTCCAATTAATAATGAATCGCTTTGTAAAATTAAGAGAACTTAAGGATACTCTTAAGAATAGAAAATACTGTATTGCTCTGATATTGATGGTATTTTTGTTGTGAAAGTTTGTTTGGCTGAAGCTTCTTGACATGAATTAACTAATCAGGGCGAGCGTTGCTTTTTTCAAAATTTTATTTAATTTTAAGATGTTCGTTACAATAAACATATCTTCAGTAAGTACTGGGAAATTGAAGAAATAACATTTTTTCAACTATACCATCAAGAAGGGTGGTTGGACACTTCTTCGGTGTTTCAGTTCTTCGAGTTTTTCTAATTTATTATTGGTTCATTTATTTCTTGGTTCATTTTATACTTGGATATTTGTAGAAGTCCGAGAACTCCAGAAATGAGTAACTTGACGGAAGTTCTCTTAAATTATTCAATTGATCTAATTAACTTTCTTTAAATGAACAGTCCAAATTCAACTGATTTTGTGGTATTGGTATATTTGACAAATCAGGAAACAATATTGGCTACATACTGGAGTTGATTGTTGATTTATTGATCGATTATTTGATGATTAATTTTCATAAGGCATCCATTTGGAAATTTAATACGTTCTATGAGGATTTTGCTATTCCTCTGGAACTACTAAAATCTATTAGCTGGAATTTTCCAGTTCTTAATTTCATTTTTCTTAATTGCTCAGTCTTTTTGTGCTTTATTTGACAAAATCAAAATTTCGCTAAACAGGTCATTCATTTTAATTATACTTGGGTGAACAATTTCCACGTTTTAAATTTTGACGTTTTTCAATTCTGTCGGCCGTGTCAGTGAATGTATTCGTGCTGTTTTGAGAAAATGTATCCAAAAACTAACTATCGTAGAAAAAGTCTAGTATGCAACACATTCGGTAAACTTCTAAAATCACTTAAAAACTCGTGAGTCAAATGCCGTTTACCGCACTTGTTGCATAATATACTATTACTATATATAAGCCGATTTTTGAACAATTAATCGTATTTCTTCGATTCTGAGTTGTCTTTTTTGAACCATTTTCTGCAAATGTCTGGTTAAATTTGATAAGAATGTTTAGAGATCAAGAATTTTGTGTTAAATTGGTTTCAGTTAACTGGTTTTGGTTGTGCTGCAAGTTTTTAATAAGATGCTCATAGTTGCATCAACATTTATCAACTGTCTTTTCCCATGAGGCAGAACACTTGATAATTTATTTTCAACCCTGTTTTCCAAGATATTAAAAGTTTAACATAATTTATGGTGATCATTATGATATCTGACACACTGCTTTAATTAACTATTCAGGATGACCGTCGCCTTTTTCAAAAATTTATTTAATTTTTATTTAATGTTTGCTCCAGCAACATATGCTAAGTACTGGGAAATTGAAAAAATTACGATTTTATATGAGTAAATACCACTCCACTGGGCAATATTCTAGTTGATATAACTCATGTGAATTCGAATTTGATTTTCAGTTATGTCTTGTAGAGAATGAATCTTTCCGTTATACTTAATGTGTAAGCAAATAGCGCTCCATTTGACGGACCATCCGACACGCACAAACCATTAATAAAACTGTGGTTCAGATTTAATCTGTCGCCCATGTGCTTAATTAATGTCGACGGGCAATAAAATAGAAAGTGTTTATACGTGCGTTTATCTCTCGTCGAATACTTTTTAATTACATTACGCGCTTGCAAATCCGACAAAAATCAGAGCAATTCTTTCTATTCAACCGGTTGTGCCTTTTTCGACGACGTATTTTAAACCGGCGGCAATAAGGAAAAAACGCATAATATGTAAACACGCAATTTACACCTATGTAAACACAAAGGTTGATCTGATTTTTTATGAAAGTACCGCATACGTTAAATACCAAAGTCGTGGTCACCGCGTACGGCTTCGAATACGATCCGAGCGGGTGCATAAACTTAAAATTGTGCAACCATGTAGGAAGATAATAAAATGTCAACCGTTACCAACGATCGATCGAAATCGGAGGTTTGTGTCTGCGTTGACTAACCGAAAACGTGCATGCAACAATAGATACTTGGCGCAGTCGGTAGGATACTAGAATGATAGTCAAAAAAACTATATTAAACTTCTAAATATCTTGGAAAATAAATATCAGGTATTCTGCCTCATGTTGTTAAGGCTATTACAGGAAACCTTGATGCAAAAAAAAAAACTTGTAGCACAACCAAAATGAGCAAGTGTGTAAAAATAACAAATACCGGATATTAATCAAATAGGTCTAACTGTTCAAAAAGCGGCTTGCAGATATTAAAGTTGTATTGATACAGATCGTTAACATCAACTTACAGATATTACCAATGTACTAATACACATCATTTACATATGAAGTTATTCCATCAGTGTTAAGTTAAATCCCAACATTTTAAGCTTATGATTTTACACAAGCTGTATTTAGAAGTTTGTATGTTTAATGAATAATCTTCATAAATAGAGCACCAAGCGTTTTTATAGTTTAGTATATTAGATTTAATCTAGTATTAATCATCACTTTCAATTAGCCAAATGTTATATTTCAAGTTCAAAATTACGTGGTGGAAACTAGTGGTCCATTTTAAAATCGAATCACTGTAATTTCCATTTTCTTAATTACTTTCGTCCATTTTATTTCCATTATTAACGACATTTATCCATTAAAAAAATTATGTATAAAAATTGCAATGGCAAAGGGTTTCTCACATTGTCAAAATCGAGAATAGAAAAAGAGGAATGGCGCAATTATCTTAAGATGGATGAAAATGATTATACGCTACTGGTAAAGATAGTAAATCTAATGAAACAACGTCAAAACATATCTAACGATTAGACGAAACTACCAAATTTACTCCTGCAATATATGCACATTTCGTTTCTAGATACAAAGTACTGCATAAAGAATGCACGAAAGTAAGAAAAACATTTATTTGATCTGCAAGCTTTATATGCGGGGTTACCAAAACCGTAATCTTCCAAGTTGAAACTTTTAGCAAATGCGCAGGAATGAAAAAACCAGGAAATGGTATGGAAGATGATGGAAACTATCTGAGAATAAGAATACGAAGTAATATAAATATAATAATAAATGATAAATATTAAAGTCGAGGTAATATTATAGTTACGTTTTTATTTTATGGGTTTTTATTCTGTTTAAATTTCACTTAAAACAATTCAACCCCATTTATTAGATTATGTCTTAAGACAAAACAACAAAAGGGAACAAATTTTATATCTTTCTTTTGTTTGCTCCATAATTCCAAGCAGACTGACCTCTTTCAAATTTGGCGCCACCAAATGCCAAAAAATTAATTCGTCGTTGGGGCGCTGGTAAATACGATTCTCATTTACTAGGGGACATAACTCTTATATCAGTTCTCCACCGTGAGCTACAGTACAGGAGAGTTATCTTAACATTATAGAGAAAAATAATAAAAATACAAAGCCTTCCTAATCAATCTCGCTCAAAAATTATATCGCCAAATAGAAACTACATACCTGCATATCATTACAATACATTTTTCTCCAATGTATACTAAACAAATAACAAAACCAAATATCCACCATAAACACACATAAAGCTAAGGAGTATTGGAATCAGAGTTATTGAAAATAAAATACTTACAAAAATATTATCTTTAATAAATCGCTTTCAAAATATTTTTGTTTTGGAGTTTTATATCATTTTTATAAGTATGGTGGAAAATAAACTCGTGAATACTAAAAGACGTATGGCATAAAAGAAAACAATAATAAACAATAATAAAGACAGAAATGCAACTAGAAGTTTAAACTCAAATCGTTCAAATTTAGTACATCCGAGTTGCCTTGGATGCACTTTATAAATGGTAAAGTCTGTTCATAGATATAAGAAAGTGACCAATTGCTTTTGAATGGGATTATCCAAGGGTGGTCATTAACATACAATGCAACAAGATTATTACCTAAAGTTTCGGAATTTAAATTCAGGTAAAATTGTGGTCCGTAATAGAAAATAATTTTATATCTCCCTGTGTTTAATATTCTTTGGTTTGGTATACTACTTAATTTAAGGCTATTAGTAATCATTCTTATTTCGTGTGTAATACAGCGTGTGTTGAATCGTGTGCGAATTATGCATAATATGTGCGAGTCTAGTGTATCTGCGGAGATGCTCCTGCCCAAATGTAGAAAACACTATTCTATTGAGACTAAAGAAGTTATAAATATAAATGTTTATTTGACTCGCATTGAACGTGGTGCCATCAAGCAAGCATCTTTAGGAGAAACGGCCACATTGACGAAAATTCCAACATCAACTGTATGGAAAATTGTGAATTTTGTGATTTTCTCGAGTGTAGATGAAAGTGATCAAGATATAATACAGCGTAAAATTTACCAGTTATTTGAGGAACAAAGCGTGCCTACAATAGATATCTTAATTAGGAGGCTTGAAAA